TCTAAGATCTGACCTTAATATTTATACGCTCTAATCATTTACTCATATTCAGAGCAAGATGCAGATCAACAAGATTGTAAGAACAACAAAAAAAGGACAAAAAAGGGTAAAGAAAAGGATGCACATGCACTTCAAATATTAATCTGCTAATTTTAGCGTTTGTTAAAGAGGCAGCGGTGAGGACTTTATTTCAGGTAAGGCTCACTTGACAATCCTGCTGGTTGTGTCACATCACAGTGGCGTAATTTCTTTTATCTCATTTATAATTATTTAGGCGCAGCATCGAGGAATGTGTCGCACCGGGCGAATTATTCCCTCCCGCCTGAAACAGGCGCTGCTGTAAAACTAATGAGTCTAGAAAAGATCGTATTCTCTCTGCTTAATCCTCCTCCTAAATGACGTCCATCATTTAATCTTGTTCACACTGAACAAATCTACTCCTGGACGGGTGTGAACACGTTGTTTGGAGAACCAAAACATTTCAGGATCTCTCCAAATCATCAACAATTCAAACCAGCAGAAATGCCAGTTCAGTCAGAGAATACAGCTACATGGTTTAGGGCAGCTGACTCATTACATTTGAAATGCAGACATTTATTTCAGACACCAGGATCAAAAGGGACAAAAATATAGAGATGCATGAAATAAATGTACAGAAAACAAATTATTTCATTTGCACGTGTGTGAAATAAAAGAAATGCATGACACACAAGAATGAATGAGACTCACAGGGTTGTGCTGTTACTGGTTTTATCATCTGGATGAAGGTTGTCCTCGTTCTGAAAAACAAGATATCCACACAGTTAAGACTCAAATATCCATCGTTTCATATAAATGAGATTTGAATGCAAACATTCACACTTTACAGCAGCAGGATGTTTATTTCTTTTATTAAAAACAGTCTGCTTCCCCGAAGCTGCTGTTTCTGACACAACAGGAAGTAGCCCAGATGTGTTCTCATGACTCGAGGCAGCTGCCTCATTCGCTCACTGAACTACCTGCTTTGAACCTTATCAGCTCGCTTGGTCGTCGCAGTTATCTTGAGCTACCGAGCTGCAGGTTGTCGATGCTCTAATACACGATCTATCACTATCACACAGTCTCCTCTATTTAAGCGTCTCTGAGCTTTTGTGCTGGAATATCTTGTCTTCAAGACACTCAGGATGGGGCGCAAAGTGCCAGGTTATATAAGTCAACAGGTGGCCGGCCGAAGCGCCACAAAGACTGTGGCGCACACCTGACGATGTGACGTCAAACTCACATGATGTCTACAGTACAGGATCTAAAATGGCTTTGCTCACTGTTTGTTTATGTCTTGAGTTACACAATGACTCATAAGGTTGCCCTCTCACCAACTTCAGTGCTGTGGAAAACAGGAAGGAAGATTGGGAAATTACTTCATCTGCACCGCTCTCACCTCTTCTCCCAGCTGAACGACGCCGGTGGAGCGTCTTTCCCTCCTCGTTTTCCGCCTGTCCTTTGCTTGCAGACGCTTGTCTCCCTCCGGCTCCTCCTGCTTCACCTGTGGGTCTGTGTCTGCAACACAAGGAGGTCAACAGAAAACGCTCGTGAGGCGTGTGGAGTTTAGGCAGAGGCATCGCAGCGATGCATAAACGTAGATTCGCTTCCTAATGAAACTTGGCGCCATAGCCGCCTTATCTTTGCCTCCTGGCTTCATCTCAGATCACTGCACGTCGAGGCTTGTGAGGAATGAGTTCAGACAACACAAACTGCTGGTTTGAGCTTTGAACTGAATGTTCTTGCAACTTAACTTTAAAAACTGATTTTGCTTCATCATATCAGATGGTGAACTGCACCAAAAACTCCCCACAAAACACGGGTGGAGCGTGCTGAGTGATAAAAGTACGATAAATGGGTCAGATGGTTTCTACCGCAGCTCAATGAGTTTGAGTATGCAGTAGCCGCCCTATCTACCCATAGAAACACAGCACAAGCAGCACTAGCCTTCGCAGTATGTGAGAAACCATCATTTCCTTTAAGACACTGCCCTTAAGAGCGCTCCACCCAAAAGCTGCCTCATATGTCACTTATATTGTGGGAGTCTTACTGTAAACAGAGGCGATGTAAGACCAGTCACATAAACAACAAAACGCGTATGGTGGGTTTCGCCATGCTCAGGTAGTTTCCAAGTATTTCACTTTGAGTTTTTTAAGGAGTCTTTAAATATTTTAAAGATATTTTAACCAATAAATCAGGACTCAGATCAGGAGTCTGGCTGATTTTCCCTGTAACTCGTTGTGTTCGGTGCAGCTCTGTGCTGCTTGTTGTCCTAAATGAACCCTCCCTGGAAACCCTGTAACATATGGTGCAAGCTACACCCTCCCACAGGCTCCAACCTGACCCACTGGATGGCCTTTGAAAAATGTGAAAATTGAAAATAAGGACACAAATGTTAGACCAACTGCCATTACTTTTATTAACTATTGTTACTATTAAATTAAACTGAGAAGCTCCTGCTGTTTTGTTGTTGTTTGTCTGGTCCGTGGGTACAAACAAAAACATTTTCTGTTAGTTAAAACTATTTTTGTTGTGTTGGTTTTATTGTAAACAGGATAAAGTCTGAGTATTGAGACTTTTTCCTGCAACTTGTAGCACACAGTGCCCACGCTGATGGGGTTCTTTTATTTCCTGCAACACCATTTCTTTATTATGTGTATAAAATGAAATGCAATTTTGCAATTAAATGTGTAACTAAACCTCTTAACACTAAAAGAAGACGACACGAGTTGCAGATGTTTGTATGCAGTAGCTTTACTGATATGACCTACTTAAGTTCAAACTAGGGTCATACGTGGCCTGTGGTCTAACATTAGTTTTACACCCATAACCGAACAGTCGTAGCTGGACTTCTGACCTGATTTTCAGTTTTTCTCAGACTCATATTCATCTTTGACTACAGACCGCATATTAAAGATGGACACACCCACCGTGATGTCACAGCTGTGAAGTCGCGAGCCTGGCATTTTGAATCTGGGTGTGATCATGGAGAGATATATCTGACCGTGCCGTACATGCAGGTGCAGAGAACAGACATCCCACTCCAGAATCCGGGCTATCAGTTGCTTCACCTGCATAGCACGCATACCTGAATGTTTAAACAATCCTGAGGAGGGACGCCGGCAGGAAAGCAGCAGTTAGAAAAAGACTAATGCTGAAAAGTCAGCAAGATTCTTACATTTGAAATGACAAGTTAACAGCTGTTCTTACACTTTGGGTATTAAATATTCATATGATGATTCTACGTTTAAGTTTTAAAGGTTAACTGATCTGACGGATTAGATGCAATGACAGTATCTGCTGAAAAAGAGGAAGCGAAAGCACTGCCAGAAATATTCAGACAGGGCGAGCAGACACAAGTCGGACTCACTGAGAAACTTGTGACTGACCCAATAAAGTCGTCTATGTTAAAGTTTACAGAAGTAAAGTGATAAATGGTTTCATGTTCCCCATACGCTTTCATACAACGTGGCTTCTTTTTACAACCAAATGAGGCGCCCCCTGTTGGCGATTCGTAAAAACACAGGATTAAGTCACGTCCCCTTTCAGGCTGTATACACACCAGCTCCCTCAGTTTTAACAGAACCTGGAAGATAATTCTGACATTGCTGATCGCAGATGTGCGGCAATTCTTTGGTTTAATTCCTTTTTAAACTTTGGTGCTACACCGACACAACAATAACTTTTATAGTGAAAATTATGAAATTCTTCTGAATTTATTCAGTTTTTGGGTTCTTAGCCGTCTGTGTCACTCACCTCTTTCTGCAGTCGTGATGGTGACGAGGGGGCTGACCGGCTGGATGGTTCGAGGTGAAGAATCGCCAGATTTAGCCACACACTTCTCAGCTTCTTTGAGGTCTGTTAGAGTCACACCCTGCATGCACAGAGCACAAACAAAACCGCCAAGAGGAATTAAAAACATTGCAGCACACTGCTGCTAACTCAGCACTGGTGCAGCAGTGTGCTGCTCTTAAAATCATCCTAGTAAATTATTCACTCTTCCCCAAACTGTGTTCAAATGTTTAATTATCACGAATGTCTGCACGCTTTTTATAGGGACTGTTAACAAAATAATAACAAAAAACTGAATAGCATGTACTGAATCTGGATAAGAAGTATTACCTGTGTGGGCCGGCGAGTCTGCCGCAACAGCTTAGAGCGAGCTTTCCTCTGAGACTCGGACTCTTCGTCTCTCGCTGGAGCCTGGAATCTAAACACACAAACGACTTCCCTCATCAGACATTTTTCAAAGCATTTTCACTGTTAGTAAAGTGTTTGTTTCTCTTACTTGCGCCTTTCAGCGTTGGGAGCGTTGGGACTATCTGCGGCGGCGTCCTTCGTCTGAGGGGTCGGTTGTACTCTGGCAGTGCGGCTCGCCTTGTCCTGCTCCTTCTCCTCCTCTTGTTTATCTGTTGGTGTCTGGATCACATAGGAGATTATATGTCACCATTTCAGAATCAGATTTATGACCCGAGTGAAAAAATAAAAAATGCTAATATCAGCATGTGTTGAAATGCATTCTTTGTTTTTTTACTTGGCATGATTATCCTTCATTTGGGGGGGTGAACCCAGCCTCAGGTATGAATCAGACAAACTGCATTTTTTTGCACTCCAGCCTTGCATGCTGCTGCTTGCTCAGCACAAGCTTCAGCTTTGAATAAGTAGTTTCAATAAACTAGTTTTTGGCTCATCTAAAAGCAGTAGCACAACTCTTTACTGCAACATGTTTTATCATATCTGATCACATGCGCTACACACCATTACCTAACACCTGCTGATAATGAAACATCCTGTACGATAAACTCAGGTTTTTTACCTTGTCGGCCGGAGTGACAGCAGACGTCGCACTCTCTGTATCGGGACTGGAGACTGTTGAGCTTTCTGCACAAAAACAGGAATCGGCATCATTCACTACGATCAGCACACTGATGCAGATTTACAGAGCATGCAGTGCTCATGACCGGGGAGGTTTACCGGGGCTGCTCTCTTTCTCCTCGCTCAGGTCCAAGCCTCCTGAAATGCCCCGCTCTTTAGACTGGTCTTGTAAAGTCATCTTTTCTCTGCTGCTCATCCTGCACACCGAGCTCCTGCAGAGATCACATGGCAACTTGTAACTTTTGCTTTGAAACGAAAGAATTTTTATT